GAATATTAATAAACATTCCTGGAGGAACACATCCATCCCAAACCACATTACCAATAATTCTGGAAGTCCTAAAGGTCTACAAGAACCATTCTTACAAAAAAAAAGAAAAAGAAACATTAATAAACGTTTCTAAAAGAACACACCCACCCCAAGTCGCATTATCAACAATTCTGAAAGCCCCAAAGGTTTACAAGAACTATTCCTACAAAAAAAAGAAAAAGAAACATTAATGAACGTTTCTGGAGAAACACACCTAACCCTACAAAACTTACCTTTTCCATTCAAACTCATAATTCCAAGAGAGTCTGGTCCAAGAATGCCATTCCTAAAAAAAGGAAGAGGAAAAATAAGGAAGGAGAGGGAAAGTGGAAAAGTGGGAAAGTGGGAGTGAGAAAGTGGAAAAGTGGAAGCGAGAAAGTGGGAAAGTGAGAGCGAGAAAGTGGGAAAGTGAAAAAGTGGAAAAGAGGGAAATTGGGAATACAAAAAAAAAAAATTTTAAAAAAATATATATAAAAAAACGAATAAAAATTAATAAAAAAAAATATTTTTTTAAGATGGAAAACTTTGATCAGTTTAGCGCAGTTGATCATTTTAATTTCTGTGCATATAATTAAAAAATGATAGGTGATATTTTATAATAAGTATATATTTCCGACCGATTATTCTATAAATGCACTTCCTGTATAAATGCACACTTTTGTTTGGTCTTGAGAGAGTGCATTTATAGAGAGTTGACTGTATATATTTTTTAAATATTTAATAATTTAAATCTTTTTAATTAATAAAATTTTTGAATAATGGAATCTTACAATAAAATATCAAAAAAACCAATTTTACTTTATTATATGTTAAATATAAATTTAATTTAAATTTAGTATTAACTTAATTTATTTTTTTAGTCCTTTTCTATTATAAAGATCTCATGTTAAAATTCTTTTTTATTTATCTTCTAAATTTTTAAATTATTATTTTTTTTTTTTATTATATTATAATAATATTTTACTTTTATTTAAATTATTTTTATATTTTCTTTTATTTTTTATAAAATATTTAGCATTTTAATTAATTTTATAAAATTTTATAAATAAGTTAATATTTTTATTTTATTTTTTTATTAATTAACAAATAATATTAATATTTAATAATATAAATTTTATTAAATCCTTTTACAAATTTATTAATATGAATAGTATAATATAAAAAAAATATTTTTTGATTAATTATTTTATTATTTTATATTTAACTATTTTATAAAATAAATTTTATTATAATTTTATTTTTTATTTACATATTTTTAATAAAATAATTTATTTATTTTAATTAATTTAATTTTTATTATTTTTTTTTATTAATATTTATTATATAATTTAATATAATTTTTTATATCTTTATCATTTAATTATAATAATATTTTTAATTTTTTTTTTTTATTTAATTTAATAATATATTACCTTTTTAATAATTTATTATTATTT